CAAGATAAGCATGATGACAGTGGGACAGTAGATGGTGAGAGGGAGGGGATGAGTCTGTGTGTGGTAGTGGTAATGTGCCAGACAGCAGCATTGAAGGAAACACATCAGGGCTGAGAGTGCAGTTGATAGAGATGCCTGGAGAAATCAAAGAAGAAAGAGGGAGTGAAGGAACAGTCACAAAGGAGCCGTTTCTTTTTCAGTCCATGGAGCATTGAATGATAAGGTAGGATGCAATTGAGGAGAAAGGGATCTAGAAGCACTTTCAGTGGATAAGGATAGATCTGAAACAGAAAAGCAGTCAAAGTTGGCATGAAACGACTATCATTCTGATGACTCATCTGATGCTTACAGGACAGGCTTCCCCATTCTTTCCCTCCCCTTCAATGGAAGTGCTTCCCATAGTAGGACCATTATGTCTACCTTTATGACTTCCTTATATACCTACTGGCCTTCATTTCTGAGAACACCTGGGGTGTCAGATCTCTGAGTGTTTTTACTGTTACTTTTACCTCCAGCACTCTTCTCATACTTACCTCACTAACATTGTCTCCCTGTCTAACTCCCTCTGTGCCTCCTTACTCTTTCTTGGGCACCCCATTAAGGCCATATTCCCTTAGATTACCAGTTATTTTTTCACCTCATCCTGGGAAGATGAGGCTTCACTTAGACCCCTGGACCTGCCACACATGATCCTATTCCTTTAGTTCCTTGGCTGAGGTCAGAGATATAAGGTTCTCCAAGCGATTGATTTGGTGGCCCAAGGTGGATGGTAAAAGTACAGCCACTATTGAGGGAAAGCCACAACAACCATCAGAACCAAACTACAGATTACTAAATCCAAGGCAGAGATAATTTAGTTGTTTCCCATCACATAGAAAGTGCTGCTAGAGAATAAAAGACTCACTGCTACCTCCAAGGAAAGTGGGTTGTTCTGCTGTGCCCTGTGCTAGAGTGGTCCTGATTTATATCTACTAAGGATGTTGAATTTGATGCTTTGATGAAAAAGATGGAAGGGCTGCTGTGCCAGCTTTTGATTCTAGAACAGGTTTCTGCAGAACAGTGGCTCACGCAACCAAAAAAAGCTTTTTATTCAGTGATGGGAGATGTCATTCTGTAAATATATTTCTTGTATTGGTTAATGAATAAAGCACTGTTGGTCAATAGGAAAGCAAGGTAGGTGGGACTAGGAGACAAGGAGGAGAGAGGAAGTAGTAGGGAGATCCAAGATGGAGGATGGAGAGAGAAGAACACCAGCCCCTCTTTCCGCTAAGATAAAACCACGTGGAAGTACTTAGATTAATAGAAATGAGTTAATATTTAAGACAGAGCTAGCTGATAAGAAACAAGTAACTGGCCAATAGCATTTATATCAAAAAGAGTGTCTCTGTGTGTTATTTGGGACTGGCCTGGCAATGGGACAAGACCAGCAGGAAAAACCTTACTCATAACAATTGAGCTTAGATGAAAGAGTTATTTCCCTGTCCGCAGCATACTTTTAAATTTCAGGGCAACGCACAGCCTAGAGTTGAGCTCTGTTTGCAACTTACTGTGAAGACAAGGTATTCTATTACAAAGAGAATGTTATCACAAGTGTGAACATTTAATCCCCCCTATATCCCATTTCATCCTCTTTCCCCCCTCTGGTCAGTCTTTAGAAACCTGTGATCAGGGTTCTTTGTTCTCCTCTCTTTTGGTACTTGGTAAACACCAAACAGAGATTCATGAACAATCAGTTCACTTCACCTTAACTTTTGTTTTGGGGTGACTTTTAATATTTTCTCCTAAATATTTATCTGATTTTTCTTACAGTGAGATGTGTCTCAAGATCATTTCCTACCAAGTAGGATGTACTAGGGAAATGTTTAATTCCTTGATTTAAACTATTTTCCATTTACCTAAACTTTGGGTGTTTTATGAAAAAAAATATGTTCTCTGTTAAAATTTTAAAAAAGAGAAAAATGTAATGCAGGAATGCAGAAAATGAAATAAATTTGATTTTCAATTATTTGAGATAAAACATGTTCATTTGAGATATAGAGAGCTGTCCAATTTCAGAAAAAAATTGATTAAAATGTTTCAAATAGGAAATAGATATGCATATATAGGATTTGCATGTTAAATATTTAGAGTTCTTCCATAGAAATTGTAATGAAGTATCATTACCTTCCTTTTGACTCTAAACTATCCCTTGTCCTCATTGTCTAAAATCTGTACTAAGTGCTGGATAAACAGCCATATTGTCATTCTCTTTTACACATCATTATATTTCACATGGCTTTCTACTCTCTGTGCCTCTGGACCAATTTACAAAGATGTAGTAGAAGAAAATGTCTTTGGGTACCACAGACATCCAGAACCAAATTGATGACATTGGACTCTGGGTTGCATGGGTTTAGACAAGAATTCTGCTCTTAGTCTTGGCTTTCTTTGAATGTACCCATACTACACTGCTAGATTATTGCTAAAATGAAAATAATATTTGTTAATAATTTACATGGAAGCCACACATGGAAAACAGGCAATCATTTTATTTTCTTATTATTTATTACTTTTGTCAGGTCATATCCTGATTTTTTCTCTCTTCTTGGAAGCACCTAGAATGGAAATAGTTACCATTGTATGTGGCATTCTGAATACTATTTGTAAATTACTTGAGATTCTCAGAGAAAGTAGTCTTGTTTCCATATATATATATATATGTGAGCCATGCTCTTAGCCAAGAATTTGCATCAGGTGATATAATGATCAAGGATCATTCCCTTTATGGGGCAAAGTCATGCTCTGAACAAACTCAAATCAGTTTCTCATTTCATTTACACCCAGCTTCTCCTAATTTCCCCAAGCTTTCAATAATCCACTAAAAGAAGTTAAACCAAATACTAAAGGGGTCAGGATAATTTCCATCAAATTTGATTTATTTAGCAATCATGTATAGTAGGAAATACAGAGAGTTACAGCATAATAAAAACACAAGAATCATAAGCTGTCATGTTAAAAATGTTAAGTTCTGGTTAAATGAAAAGGCATATGAACTTGCAAGTATATGGTGGGTAGCTGTAGGTAAAAGCACAAAGCAGGTGAAAAGTCTATGCCTCACCAGTATCTACAGAGGAACAGCACATGTGACCTCCTGTCTAACTGTTATGTATTTGTGCCCAGCAGGAGTGTTCTTACAGAGAGAACAAGGAAGCAAGGAGTGTGTAAGGCCAAGGAGACACATTAGGGAAGGTAGAAATAGGAAAAGAGAGAGGTGAAGGGAAGAGAAAGTGTGCCAGGCAGTGTGACAGTTCTGATTAGTGTGTCTCTCCAAGTTCCCTTGTAAGCCAGTCACAGTGCTCTCTAAGTCACAGTTATGTGATAATTCTGGTAGCACACATACACTGACTGATATGTGTATTCCTTCAATTATATCAACCAAGCATAGAGATCAAAGGAACAAAGTGGATGTGTTTTTATGCCATGAGGAGAGCAGGGTTACAATTTATTCTTCCCTCCAGAGATACAACTGGCTCAATTAGGAACAACAGTATTCATATTTCTTAGACTCTCAGATTCTGCTTAAAAAGCAGAGTATTTTCTAGATGGTAGATATCTCAATGTTTAAAAAAGAAGACATTAAGAGCAGTAGTTACTGTTTCTCCATAAATAGAAAAGTCCATTTGGAAGGACAAAGACTACTATGATGCACATTTCTATAAATCTTCTCAACAAATTATTATAGATCAATCTTTACTGCTGACATTAAAATATCTATCATATTATAATGTCTATAATACAATTCAGTTATTGAGCTGTGCTGAGCACAAGATTTAGACAATACTAACACTAAGAATCTATTTCACAGAACATTTAAAAGCATTTTATACAGTCTCCACACAAATATATCTTAAATTACAATAATGCATACTAAATATGCATAGAGAATATGGCTTACACATTAAAGTAGATCTAAGTTGTGAGTTACAGAGACTTCACTACTTAGGCTTAGAAGCTTCTGGTCATGTCCTTCTCTAAAATATTGTTTAGTCTTGTGGAACCTGGGGGAAAAGCAGATGCAAGAAGCAACTCATTGGATGGGCAAACCCTTTTTCACATCATTTGACAGTTACTCTTGATTCTTTCATCTAATTTCCACCTTCATGAAAGTCACAATCCCTGAAAGGTAGGTACAATCAAAAGCTACAACATTGAATTGCCTTGACCAGTCTTGCTAGTCAAAAAGAAGAAAAGGCCCTTGGGGCAAGGAAAGGCTTCACACATGCTCAGGCAGAATATGGCAAAGAAGCAGAGCCTCTGAGGGTTGCAGTTCGTTTCTGTTCAGTAAAATCAAAAGTCACATCAAATAATGTTAGCTATACAGAAAAGTATGGGTTTCCATTTCCATATACACCTCTGAGCAGGAGTACACATACCTACACCACACACACACACACACACACACACACACACACACATACACACACACACGCACGCACGCACACACTCACACACAAACACACACACACACATACACATTCTCTCTCTTTCTTTTGCTCTGTCTTATTTTCTCATCTTTTATCCTTTGGCCTATAATATATTCTTATATTCTAATGGGATAAAAATCCAAGAAGGAAAAAAATTGTGTTTTCTCTTCAAGTGCCTGTCTCCTGTAATATCTGATGCTCCTTGTTACTGTGGACCTAGAACAAGTTATGGCCTGCAATGTGACCACACACATGGGTGGTACAATAGTGCCTTAAAACCACAGGGATGGCAGCAGGATGATCCTCTGGCTGTAGGGGAAGGTAGCATTGCAGGTTCCCAGACGGAGACCAGCATACATACGTCTGTTCCCGTGTGGCTGCTCTCATGGTTGGCTGTTGGTGGGATTTCATGAACAACTGAGCCATCTAGATTCCCCTTCCCATGTATTTAAAAGAGTACAGTTTCACCACACCAGCCTTGCAAAAAAAAAAAAAAAAAACCTCTATTTTCCATTATTTTGGTTTGCTTTTCTTTTTTCATTTAAAATATTGTAGCAGCACTCTGAATAACACAGTGCAAGAAGTACATTGGGAAAATGGTTTATCTTCTGCACAAGTTAAAGTGATGAAAATTTCAAATTGTCTGACTTTCAGTCTTAAAAGATTTCTCTGGTTTGATTGAAGATGGCCAAATTATGGAGGGAAAATAGTGGCAGGAACAGTAGCCAGAATCCTAGTCATAATCCATGGGTACTTCATTGCCCAGTTACTAGATTGAAATTTATGCTCTTCTTCCTTACAGAGGAGTTCACTAAAATGGCCTAAGCCAACTGTATGTTCAAAGAGGAGAATATGATGTTTTAGAAAGTCAAGGACTTTGCATGTTTCTCATGCTGCTTCATTTCCCTGAAATAAAAAACAAATGAAAGTGAGATCAGAGAAGGGATGGGAAAGTAGGCTGGGTAGGTGTTGGTTAGATGATACAGAATTCCAGTTAGATCACAGAAATAAACTCAAGAGATACAAGTTATATACTAAATAATAGTGTATTATATTCTTGAATAATGCTGAGAGTGGCTTTTCCTCTAGATACTAATAAGCATTAGGTTGAGAGGTTATGCATTTAATATTTAGTTCAATTTCATCATTTTATGAAGTATATAGGCTTCCAAGGATGTTGCATATGATGAATACAAGTTTGGGCAACTAAAAGTAAATCAGAAAAAAATACAGAACATCACTTAGTCTGTATGGGTGTCAGCTATTGAATGGCAGTTTCACACAGGACCTATACACTAAAAGAAATATGATATTCACCATTACATTTAACAACTGTTTTATCTAAATTATAATTCCTTCCTAGATCTGCTCTATATGTCTGTGTGTTTGCATGGTTTTCAATTGCAGTAGGTCTTTTTCATACACTGACAATCATTCAGTAAACACACTGCTGGCTTGTATTCCCTACATACATTTTAGGGGAAATGTTCATACATATTGTAGACTTACACAATAAATATTTAGAAAATGCTGACCCAAATATTTTCTGTCATTTTTATTTTTGGTTTGTGTGTGTGTTGTAAATGTCCTATAAGGAAAAAAAAACTTGCTTAATTATGCTTTATTTATTTATTTATTTTTTAATGATAGTTACATTCCAACATAACTTTTTGCTACTTAAAACATCTATAATACTCTACTCAAAATATAATATAATATAATAGTTTTCTCAAAAATATACTCTAAAAGTTTCCTCAGGCATCAGCAGGACCCAATGACTCATCTTTTTAAAATAATACTTTTATTTTATTAATTTTATGCAATATATTTGGATCATATTCTCCTTGAATGGCCAGAATCTCTAAAGGCAATAAATTTACAATCTGTGTGGAAGTGTGGAGAGTTATTCATTGTAACTGTTACTACCATGTTAAATATAGAGATGGGCATGTGATAATAAAGAGCCAGCCACTTGGCAATGTGATTTATTTCCAAGCTTAATACATGGAAAAGGAATCACACCACAATGGGATACTTATCATAACATATATAAAATTTTCACCAGTGAGAGTCTTTGCACAAATATTGAAGAATTACTATAAAATTCAAATCACATTTTAATTATGTCAAAACAGAACCTGAAGAGGCAATGAATGAAAACATCTCAAGGGTGTGGCATGACATCTTCATCATTCTCCTTTGCCCTCATTACTACACCAACATCAATACTCACTATAACACCTGGGTTTGTTTCTTACACGATATCGTGTAAACTTTAAGACATCTGTACAATATACACCACTTTTTCTAATTTCCTGTTTCTTATGTATCTTTACAAGGCAATAGTCCTTTTTAATTGAACATTAACATTAATATATCAGCTCATTAAAACTTCGTATTTCTACAGCATCATTACTAGAGTTATCAATTTGGCAGATTGAAATCAAGTCCCAAGGTCATTTTTATAAACAAGTATCATTATTGTCCAGATTTCTACCAAACACAATATTTGTGTTTATCATCAAGAACAAATAGTCACATTTCCTATATAAAATAAAAATAGAAATCAACATATAAATAGTCCTATATGTTGTAGAAAAGGTAATTTTACATCTTCTCCCACTCCAGGGATTTCTTTACTGCAATCTTCTTCATGAAGATCCCTATAAAATATAGCTTGTTATCCTTAAAGAATTAAAACTCTAACCTCAATAAAATATTGTGTTAATTATACTTAAAATTTAGTTGATAAAAAAGAATATTTTTAAAAATGGAAGAATATTGAATGAGGTCCTTTGTAAAAGTGTTAAAAAAATTAGGAATTAGGGGTTTTTTTTTTGTTTTTGTTTTTGTTTTTTTTTTTTTTTGTCTATTACCTCTTATGTTTAAAACAACTGAGCTCTTAAAAGTTTGTTCAGACCTATTGATGTGTATCAGCATGTTTTTCTTCAGCATTTCCTAAGTCTTCTGAGTTACTATGCAGATCGAGTTCACCTAAAACATCAAACAACAAACAGGTAAGACAAAATTAGCCACTGGAGGAAGAAAAACTAACATGCCAGGAGATAGCACGTTGTAAAGTGTTAAAGACTGGACTTTATAATGGATTATTTTTTAGCGCATTTCTCCAAAGATGGTGCTTTTTCTTTTTCAGCCTGTGGGTTTACAGACTACAACAGCATGTCTTGTCTTGATTATTTAACCTTTGAAGTTGCAGCTTAGTCTGGAACACAGAAATAAAATACATGAGAGAAGCATCTATTAAGTCACACATGGAACTGCATGATTTTTTATGAATAATTCTTTTGCTGAAACTAAATTTAAGCAAATCCTAATGACCAACGTCTTTAACCACTTACTGATTATCTGCTATGAATTTACAACAAATTAAATGAATATGAGTGACTAGTAAAGTTTCAGATAAAATAGTCTACCAAAACAAATTAATGGAATTTATAGTCTTAGAACTTTATATAAACTCCAGCTTTATATAAACTCTGTAGATAAGGAAAGCATTAGTGTAGAAGCTATTCCAATGCTTCCTAAGACATTGAAGAGAATTGATCAAACATTGAATAATGAAGTTTCCGGAAAACGTAAATGGAGCCTGAGGTGTCTCCCGGACCATTACCAGTGCAGTACCATTTATACTCGCTGGGCAGACTGACTCTTTATCCTGTGAGTGCATGGGTGATGTGTTCAGATACTTCTCACTAAGGATCCTGGCTGGATACTTCATCCCAGCCTGTTAACAGAACAAGAACATCTGGCTGCTTTGCAACCTCCCAGAAATTTGGTGCTTTATTTCCAGCTCTTGTTACAATCAAGTATGTTCAGACACAACCCTCCCGAGACGTTTGCTCCCATGATGCACTTGAGGAAAATCTCAGTCTTCTCTCCATTGGCTGAGAAAACTCTTCACTCTCCCGGGTAAGATTAGATTCCATTCCCAATGTGCCTGGAGCAACAAACTCTCTTTCCTGGGAAACTCTCTTCCATTGATTTGGAAGAGGAGGAAGCAATTCTACACCTCCATTGTAGTGATCTCTTGTGTGGAATTTTCTTCATAAGCCCCGTTCTATTTTCAGCAATTTAATACTTTGTTTATTTGAACTGAGACTAAAACGTTTCTAACTAGGTTCTGAATCTTCTTCAACATTGTTCCTCACAGCTTGGTTTGTTCTCTGACATTTATCATTTTGGAGCCTTGGTCTAAACTTCAGACTTAATGTCTGTTATTTAAGACCAGATCAGAATATAATAAAACAGGCTTCACTAGAAAAGAAGAAACAACAGTGAAAGGAATGGACAGACTTAGAAGAAAGTGACATGAATAGTTACCTCAAAAAAAAAAAATCAGAGAGAACTTTTTACAGTGTGTAAGGACACTAAACTTTACTTCACCAAATAAATGTGATCCCTAGAGAAATCTTATCAGTAATGAAAAATGAAAGAGTGATAAAATACAAAATAGCAATAATGCAGCAATTGAAAAAATAAATCTCAAAATAATGTGCTAATAACATCTAAGAGAAATTCTGTATGTGAAATTAGAAAAGCAGTAAGCAAGTATTATTACCAAGCCCATACTTCAGCAGTACCAAGGAGTGTCCTTCCAAACTGTAAGGTACTGATGTTTTCAAGAATGTGTGTGTGTGTGTGTGTGTGTGTGTGTGTGTGTGTGTGCACGTGCATGTGTGTGTTTGCACACAAAGTAATTTCAGAGAATCTTGTTTGTTTGTGAAAATTAGAGGCCTCATCTAAATCACATTATTTAAAATTCACTTTAGATGCATAATCCTTTGTAATTCACTTGCATCTTTCATGTATAAGCCACTTGTAGGTGTATAATTTCACATCATCCTTCCAGGAAGGAGGAAATGACTGGGAGCATTCATTCCCTCAAAGATAACTTTAGATAACCTTCTAAATTGAAGGATGTTCAATGTAAAAGTTCCCAGAAACCACCCATGGAATCCAGGCTTTCAGACTTTTCTAATATAATCTGGCCTCTCCTTATAGTCTGATCAAATGTGTGCTCTTCTTTTTAAAAGAAAATACATAAATAAAATACATATTATCAGAAAGAATTCCATGTCTGGCAGTGGTGGCACAAACCTTTAATCCCAGCACTCAGGAGGCAGACGCAGATCTCTGTGAGTTTGAGGCCAGCCTGGTCTACAGAACGAATTCCAGGGCAGGCCCCAATGCTACAGAGAAAACTCGTCTCAAACAACAAAACAAAGATTCCATTTATACTACAATATCATCATAGCAAGAGAATATAGTGACACACTATGTATCTCTTTGGTAATTCAGTGAATGACAAGGACTAACCGCATGCATAACACCACAACACCATTTATTTTGTGTTTCCTCAGCTCAAAGTAACAAGTCAATTGACCTTGGACTTAAACTGCTGAAATAATGACCCAATAATTTTTTGAAACACTGACTTTCAAAGAAAATTTGTATCAGAAAAAGGAGCCAGAACTTTGTTTCTAACAGTGTGAGAAGACTTTAGTACTGGTTTGTAAGGGGTGGAGTTGGGACAGTGCAAAACTATGAGGTGGAAAAGATCTATGGTGCTGTAGGCAGACATTAACAAGAGACTCTAGTGAGAAGCTGGAAGAGAAAATGCCCACAGGAATGAAGAAATTAAAGGCTACTCAGGAGCTTTCAAGTATGAACAAACATTGATAGGTGTATTGTAATAGAGACCACTTGTGCTACGCTGTGAAGAATATGTTTACATTCTAGTCATGCCCTAAGATTTTGTAGGAAATTAACTTTAAAAATGGACAGAAGAAATTTCAGTGCATGTAGCTTGCAGTTTCAATATTGCTAGCTGCTTTTATCCACTTTACAATGGAAGTTAGAAACAAAAAAGAAATCTGAAGGATTATAAAATCTTGAATATTTCCTAGAAAATAATGTGTACAAAGCAAGGAAGATGTGGTTGTTAAAGAGACAGAACAACTAGAAAGAAACCAAAGAGTTTGAGATGTATGATGGGGAATGTCCATCTGTATATATGTTTCTCTTATTGGTTGATGAATAAAACACTGTTTGGCCAATAGAGGCAGGAAGATAGGTAGGGCTAGGAGACAAGGAGAATGCTGGGGAAAGAGGCAGAGAGGCACTGCAAGTAGACGCCATGTAGCTGCCAAAGGAGTAACAGGTCTGGGCATTCTCCTATAAGCCAACACCATGTGGAAATAAATAGATCTATAGAAATGGGTTAAGACACTGCTAGCCATAAGAAGCCCTAGCCATTGGCCAGCAGTTTTATAATTAATATAGCATCTCTGTGTTTATTTGGGGCCGAAGTGGCAGGACCTGGTGGGACAAGGGACTCCAGCAACAGATGTAACTGAGAGACAGAGTGCAGAACTAACATGTTCAAGGCTCTAGATCCAATCCCCAGTACTGCAAAATTAAGAAAAAGGAAAAATAAGAAAAAAGTAGAAAGATGTGAGATAAGAATAACAATTAGAGTAACAATAACCCACCACCAATGAATGTTTTGTACTGAGGCAATAGAATAAGAATGGTATTTTGAGTAAAGTAGAAGGTCTAAAGGCACAAACTTAACTAAAAGATTAATTGAACATCACAGAGTGTTCTTTTAGCATAGGGTGACCTAGGGAAGTATTCCACCTGGTTCATCAGTCAGGTGCTCAGAAACTTCTGCAGACATAGTTCATTAGATCCTAGCAACCTACTGAGCTGATAGCAAATCCCTGCACTGGCCATATGATGGTAGTTTGCAAGCATGCAGAATAAAGGAGTTTAGTGTTAGAGGAGATTGGCAAGTTCTTGGAAGGGCAATATTTACTCTATACCACTGTATATTAGAAACATGCAAGTCTCTATTTTTAAAACTTCATAGGAACTAATGGTAACGTTTCCCTGACAGACAGCAGCTGAACATCTGAAACTGAGACAAAATAAATCCTCCTCTAATGTTTTTTTCTCCAGAATTTTGTCATAGAGATAAGGAATATGACTAACACAAATAAGTAATTTCATAAAGTGTTACATAAGCTTCAAATCAGTAAATTGCCACATGGTGGCACCATCCATATATGAGAGAAAGCATGGGATATCTGTGTTCCTGGCTCTTTACCACACTAATGATGATTGCTTCCAGTTCCACCCATTTACCTGCAAGTTTCATAATTTCATTTTTTCTTAACAGTGGAATATCATTTCTTTGTGTAAATGCATATTTTCATTATCCATTAGTCAGTGGAAGACATCTACACTGTTTCCATTACCTAGCTAATAGAGCAACAAGGGACATGTGTGAGCAAGTACCTCTGTAGTCCTTTGGGAATAAGCCCAAGAGTTGTATAGCTTGATTATGTAGTAGGTCTGTTTCTAGCTTTTTGACAAACCTCCGCACTGATTTCCATAATGGCTGCATGCATTTACACTCCCACAGCAGCTGCACATATAAATTCACAGAGATTGTGATATTGTGAAAAGAAAAAGAAAACGAAAAAACCATGTACAAGTTCAAGCCAAAAAGTACCCCAGCTCGAGGAAAAGGGAGGTTGACACAAAGTCCCACCCTTAGCCTAGATGTTATGGGCATTTGATAGCAGCTGGAAAAGAAGTATCAGTTTTCTTTAAGGGTGTGATCCCTGGTAGGTCAACTATGCTCTAGAGAAGACTCCCTACCCAGGAATGTAGGAAATCACATATTCAACTAGGCACTTATTTTTTTTAATCACAATAAAATGATAGAGCAACAATGGAGTCTGAAAGTTGTGCTAATTGTTCTAATCTCTTCTTTATCTTTTATAGGCGGAACAGTTGTTCATGTTACCAGTCTTATGTATATTCATCTAAATCAGTTTTGGGAACTGAAACTCGGAAATAATAATTTGCAAAGGGTGGAAACATTTTGGCTGTGCAGGAAGTACTCTGATGAACTGAATTTCCTATTTATATTTCAGTTTGGTAAATAAGCAGAAACCTGCAATTGT